TTGGATACAAGATTTTGAGCAGTACGAGGAACAGGTGAGAACCCTTGAGAATGAAGCTGAACTCATAAGTATTCTGGTGGTCAGGGAAAATATTTCCCTGTAACACAATACATCTTCTATTAGAAACCCAAACTACTAATTACAATCTGCCTAAAGACTTGTTATAAATGAAGTGGAGATACAAACATGTTTATATTATGGGGAAGTTTATTTGCAGATAGGCAGGAAAGCCGTCTCACATCTTCCCAAACACAATTTTAGCTGCTTTAATTAGCAGGTTTGCTTTGATTTAATTCAATTCAGTGATTCCCTCTATCTTTACTGACACATGCGCAAAGAAAACCTGCTGCCCTGACTTCTGACATGCAGTTTCCTTTCTCATTTCTGTTTTTGTTGTTGTTGATTTCTGCACTGTTTACAGTGAAATGATGGGGTCAACACTTCCTAACAGCATGGCCAACAGATGTAGCGTGGAGTTGACAACTGTACATTTTGGTCGGCTTTTCTTACCTCCACACTGACTGATTGCTGAGGTGCTGCAAGTCGGGATGTCAAAGGCCAGCAGAAGGTCCTAACAGCCTTTAGATCCCAATTCTATTTAGGGTCAGAATGGCAAAAATATGCTTTTTTTGTGTAGTTGCATGTAAAAGTGCAGTGAGTTTTTTTGCTAGAGGATGAGACCCTAGGAAAAAAAGCCCTTAGATGCCTGTAGGAACTGACTGTAGCTTGTGTGTCAACTTTGGGTTGAAAAGCAAGATTCAAAAGTCATCAGAATTGGTGTATTTAAGGTTCAGAGATTTTGTGGGTTTATCTGACAGCAAAACTGAATAAAAACATTTAGTCCCTAATAAATACACCACAGTAAGGTACCTAAAAAAAGAACAGGCGAGTTTGTTAAAACTTTTTCTTGGGCTCGGTGTTTGCAAACTGTTTTTTTGTCTATGTCAGAAAACCAGTTGCTGTTACACCAGGTGGTGTTCTCCCTTCTCTCTCAAACCCTCCCTCTTCAGTGTCTCACAGCTGTATGGTAGGTAATTAAAACAATCACTGAAATGTTTCAAAGCTGTTGCAGCCTTTAGTTGACTTTTAAAATCTGTAGTTGAAGAAGAATAGTAAAATTAATTTGTCTCTGGCTCAGGAGAGTGCTCTTCACTTGAGCAATGGACTTTACAACATTGCCAACAAAAGGAATTAGATTAATGTTATACTTGCCTTTATCTGGGGTTATTCTGTTAACTGTTTTATATTGGAAATTAATTTCAATATCATGCATGTGTCTGCAAGTCATGAACGCAGCAGTTCCAGCAGAGGCTCAGATTGCTATTCTGCTTCAGAATCTTAGTAAAAATGTTAAGGAGTAAACTTGCCAGGACAATTAAATGATCCTGCCTCCTGATAATGAAAGAGGAAGCTCATRTTCTTGGGCTATCAAATATGTAAAATTAAAAAGTGTCATAACACTTATTTTGAAARGAAGTGTAATTTTGCAGGTTTATCTTTCTAGTGAGAAAAATTACTTCAGCAGCTGTGAGATACAGAGACTTCTGGGTAGGTGTATTTTTGGTGTTGAAATGTTCTGTTTTTCTTCCATGTTTCTCTTTTATGTGTTTCAGTTTCCTGCTTCAGGAGCAGACTTTATAAGACTTGTAATTCGTTCGTTATGAAAGGCTTAGTGCATGGGACAATGTTTTATTCTTGAAATGAACTAATTTGTACTATATTATTTTTGATCCTTCAAAAAATAACCCTTCATCTTGACAAACAATGCGTTATGTCAGTGCAAAGTGAATTGTGGAAGCTAAATAGTGTTAAATGAAGAGCAAACCCAATGAGCAGTATGTATAAAACATAAGAAGRTGAGCGAGGGAAAATGCAGTACATAGCCCAGGTATTAGTAGAGAAATATTTATGAAAACATGTTTTATTCTCTTACAGCTTTGTGAGAGTCTCAGAAGTTTACATAATTATTGATAAAAATGTCTGTGTTTGCAGAAAAACAGCGTGCWTCAGAAATAGAAAAAATTACTCCACGTGATGCAGTGGGGTTTAGGCTTCCTTTCTCTAAGTGCCGAGTTTGTAGGTGCCAAGTACACRGGCAGCTAGAAGTGTCCGGGAGACATCAAGTATCCGTCTCTGTCCCTACCCTTCGCTTGGAGTATCTCACAAAAATCCCTTTTCTTCCTTTCTGCCTTCCCTCCCTGCCTTTTCTGATCTGTTCCCCTTTGGAATTTTATATTCCCAATAGTCATTTTAAATACTAGTCATGTGAAAAAGGTCTCTAGGATGGTAAATTTTGCATATTCTTCATTGCTTTGTGGCAAAACTTGCCTGGTGTGTATTACACATGTGTAATAGAGCAAGTGCTTATACAAGTACATCATTGAAAACCTGAAACATGCCAGCTAACAAAGAGTGTAAAACCAAAAATATCAGCAGTGACAAATCTAAACAATGGCTTTATTTCCTATTAATTTGTGTGCTCTTCCTATTGCTGTGCGTACAAATATTTTCTATTGATTAAAGACAGTGTAATCTCTTCCTCATTCTTTGCTCCCCTGTGAATATTTCTGACTACACGCAGGTATTATAAAGAAATTTACACATGTGGATAAAAATAAGACTTAAATACTAATCTGCATCTTTGCTTCAGCACAACTCAATTTGACAGTATATTTTTGCCAGGTGGAACAAAGAGCAATAAATTAGTTTTGAACATTTATGATCTTACATTATAAAGACTGCAACAGACTGTGTTCAAAATCAATTGTCAGAGTGATGGGGGATTAATAACTCTGGTACTGTAACCTTTTACATATCTGCAGACTGGGTAAGGGCACATTTCAAGATCTGCTGCCATATTTCATTATTGCAACTTATATTTGAAAGACCTTTTTGATGCTTAAAAAAAGAAACAGATTAGTTTTTACAAGGGCTGCATGAATAACTCATAATTAATAATTCATTCAATGATTTTTGCTTTTTATTCTATGAGAAGAATAAAAAATACTTGTCAATCTTCCTGTTACCTATTGACTATTTGGCTTTCTAATCAACATCAGAATTCAAGGTTTGTTACTAATTTGTGATTGATAAATCATGTGGCATTGGCTTAATTCCCCAGTTAATTGAGGACAAGTGCTATAACAAATTACACAAATATTTGAGGTGTTTTCTTTTCAAAAATTCCTTTTCTCATGCATGCCACCTTACAAACATTTTAACAAGGGTTATTGTTAATCCAAACGTATAACATTTATTGGAAAAGAAATGCAAATGAGTCAGTATGGCCAAAATGAAATTAATTACAAGAAACAAATGCATTTCTCTGGACTTCTTCTGCAGAATTTCCCAGCTGTAGCTTTTCCTCATTAGCTCAAGTGCCCATTTGCAGAAGACAACAAAATATTGGGCACGAGGATGGGTGCAAGGTAAACGAGAGCTGAGGTAATAGGTTCTAATCATTAACAGCTTGATTGTGTTTCCCCAGCTCCCAGCTGGGGTGTGAGTCGGGTTTTGCCCTAGTGAAGCCTTGGTAATAGTGGCTGTCATCTTTTTGTTCCCTTCACCTCCCAGCTGCTGAGTTTGAATCACACCAAAGAGACCTTCACTGGGCTAAGAACACGCTTGGATTTGCCTGCATTTTTTTCATATACGCACTTTATTTTGGCTTCTTCCAAAATAAAGAGCAAAACGCAGCGAAGTATTTAAGTATTTCCCAACAAAATACACGTATGTAATCTCAAGGGCCGTGCATACCATCTAACTGTCATTTCCTTTGATTAACCTTCACCTGACCTCGCTCCCTAAGGCGGTTTCAAATCCTTTTGTTCCTCCTGTTAAGTATTGTGCTCTATCAGGTGAGTGCATCTGTCATTAAGGAGCTGGCCATTTTACTGGAGCTCGACGTAGACCTTGGGATGGAAACTCCATGCAGGTTCTTTCACCAAACAGACACCTTAGTGTGGTGCACAGAGCTTGTTTAAATAGCTGGATGGAAATAACACACTTAACTCTTATAAATGCATTTGAAGATTGCTGGTATTTGGAGGAGAGGAGGATTTTAAGTATTTTATGAATGCATTATTTATATTTAAGKTGAGAAAAGGATGGGGACTGAGGTAAACAGCGCTGTCTTGTTGCATCTTCTTCATGTTGTTGGGAAATGCCAGGTTGTGGAGAGTAGAATTATTAACAAGGAAGCATCAGAATTAATGAATTGTGTCCTTTAGAAGAGAAGAGTTCTAAAATTGCCCAACTAGATTGTTGTAGCWTTTGGAAACCCAAGAGATTGGTATTTAATTCCAAGTTTTAACCTGTAAGCACTCAAAAATGAAAATTTCAATAATTTCAACATGTTCCCTATCTGCATATGTCAGATGATCTAAACTGAACTTATTTTGGATGAACAATTTGTAGATGTTGAAACAATGTAAGCAAAACTTACATGGAATCCACAGTTTCTGCTTATGTTATGATGCTTTTTGTAATAATATCAAAGACTGTTTGTGGTCTCCCTACCTCCCAAACAAAGGTGTCCCAATGTCTCATAGTTGTTCCTAACAGCTGAACCTTGCTCCTGGGCTTTGACCTTTCAATCATATATCGTTTTCTGCAAGGTTATAAATGTGATTATGAGAACTCAACATCACATCAGGTCTTACAGCTGATGATCAACTTCCTGAAATTTCATAATCAAGCATATTTTACAGATCTTACCTAATTTTTGTAGATACCTTCTGCCTCTTCTCCACTTTGTCATTTTTTATTACACAATTTGAAGTTTGATGAACAAACTTGATCTAAGTATGAAAACATTTCATGATTTCTACTCAACCCCCAAGATAATGAGACTCTTAGAAAAAAAAYGAGATTTAAAATGGCACTAGAAATTATACTGTAAGATCTCTGTGCAAACACTGAACACAGGATCAATCTCTTCAGCAAAGAGTTTATAATCACGCTGAATAATGTCTTTTTTTCCCGTTCTAGGTGAGAAGTTATGTACYTTTTTCCGACTTGGAGGGCAGTGGACATCGTTTTGAATGCAACGTGGAGCTTAGGCAGGACAGCCAGCATGAGAAAACAGGTAAGTCTGCACCAGCAGCTACACCAAGATCCTTGCCTAGGGTAAGCGGGTGCGTTTTGACCAACGTTTTAACTAATACCTAGAAAAAACTGCCTTGTAATTTCTATGGGGATTGTAAAATCCCCCTTTTGGAGTGAATGTGACCTGTTGTTGCCCCTTTGAAGAGTTTGCAAACGATTCTCCAGAGCTAGCGTTTGCTGTGAAGTCCTCCCCAAAACCCGCCTGCGCTCTGCGACTGTTCTGTGGTGACAGCCATGTACCCACCTGCTGTACCGAAGAATTTAAATGGAGGAACAAAAAGAAACTGAAATTGCCTTAGGGATTGAGGTCAGGTGAAGGTTAATCAAAGGAAATGACAGTAAAATGGCATTCGTGGCTCCTGGTACATTTTTAATCATTCCTGTCTTTTTTTTTTTTTTTCTCTCTCATGAAAGACACAAACTTTCTACCATTACTTTTAGTTAGGAAAGACTTTTATTTTTGTCTTTTTGATTTCTAAATGTACTCGCTTTTGGATTGCTCCTGCAGTTTAGCTCCTGACATGCATATTGCAGTGCTTTGAATGTGAAATAGCGAGTGTGTGTGTGTGTGTGGGAAGAAGAATGTTAAGAAAAGCAGGTGATTTTCCCTGAAATATCTCTTATTTTATCTTCTCTTTCTAATGTGATATATTGTGAAGGATTTCTAGAAATCATGAGCGCTGCAAATAAATACTCAATAAAGCAAAACACATCATATTTTCTTATACAAGTGTCAGGCTAAATGAGATCCATCAGTGGAGCTACTGGAAACAAACCCATTTGCTTTCTGATGCYGCTACCCTGAAAGTAATTACCGTCTTTTCAAGTATAGATATTCTGTGTATTTTTAAGCAAATTCTTAAAATAGCCTTCTTAGTTGCAATGAAATTTGGAAATCCTGTCTTAGCTTGTGGGCTGCCATTTACATTCCCATTTTATATATTCGAAAGGGCCTCACTTAGAATCGCTTGTTTTCAAAGTATTGAGTTGTCATTTTAKGCTAGTCACCTTAGATAACTTTGGCATAACTACAAGAGGAACAGGAGCAACTTTATATAACTTACAACTGCCTGAGGCAGCTTGCGAAAAATGTGAGCAATGCATTTCTTTCAAGTATGTTTATAGCTCCCTTCCCCCGGTACTGGAGAGAGTCCTAAAGGGGATATTTTAACCCAAACAACTGTGGTACGTTGGCTAGAGCAGATCTGTGCCCTCCACTCTTTGCATCGTGCACCACCAAGTTCTCTGTGTTGAGATGCTGTGGGGATTGAGGTTACGTGAGACCTGGCACCGTGCAGCYTTCTCAGAGGAGCGGGGAGCTCCAAGCAAACAAATTACTGCAAACTCACGTTATATTATTACCCCAGCAAGCTGCGTCTGGAAGGGGTGTTTTGTGCATGTGCTTTCTCTGCATCCCAGGAAAAAAAATCTGGAAATGGTTTCTTTGTGTGTCGTTGTGCCRTTTATTGCCCTGATTGCTCCTGGTAATGTGGCACTTGGCTGCCAGATCCCACGTACCAAGGGCTGTCACATGGGTGCCAGATGGGGTGTTCGATGGGGAGCTGGGGCAGGAGGGGAGCAGCGTCCCGCACTACAAACAGCCTGGGAAAAACCTGCCAGGAAATTATTGGAAAGCATAGAGTTGGTCAAAAATGAGGAAAAATGCATCTGACCTCAATGGGGGGGTGGTTGAATCCAGTTTGCTTCCTACCCATGTSCTTTTTCTTCGCGTTTGCAGGGAAGGAAGGTAGGAAACAGCGGTGCAGGCTCAGCTGGGCTGCCCTATTAACGGGCGTGCAGCGCTGCGCAGCAACAAGTGATTGCTTTTTTGCACACAGATAGATGAGTAACTTGAGTGTTACCACATTTACAGGATTGAACTCCGTGATTTTATAGTACTGTAACAGTGTTGATGTTATGCTCAGCATCAGCTCGAGCAGTGACTGTCTCCCCCTCTTCCATCATAACTTCTGTCTTGTCGAACTTCTGTGTTAGCAATAGAAATATAAATAATTATGGTGAGTTCTTTGCAAAACAGAAATATCTATTTAAGGAAAAGAAGACGAAAGTGCGAGTGAGACTGTTTTAACTGAAATCTGAATACCTCAGCTGAAGACAGCATTAACTGATGCCAAGTGGAAAACAGCTGGACTGGGAGGATATGATTTTTTTTCAGAAGCAATGATACGGCCTTAGAATGTTTCTGAAATAAACACTAAAGAATCATTCCCCAATCATATGCATGTATTTTAAAGCATCCAGTAAAAATATTCAAACTGTGATGTATTTGCCCACCCAAACTCTGCAAATACAGGAAATATTAGATTGATTTGAGTATCTTTATTCCAACTTTTCAGACTGGCATCCAGAACACAACTTTCTTTGCAGATTTATTTTTAAGAGTTGCTGAATTTGTTTAGTATTTCATTTCATTTTCCAGAAGAACGGAGTTGACTGGAAAAAACCCACCAAGTCTAATGATCAGTGAAAGAAACACTGGCTGAAAGGAGAACTCCTGGACGTGTTTCCTGAGTGCATTGAATTGCAGAGTGTTTTCCTGCCTGCCATGCAGCAGTTGGCTCCAAGAGTGGGAGCTGGGAATGTCCCGAGGTCCCACTCCTCAAGCCAGACCCATGTAGGGACCATCCTGTGCCCGCAGCCGTGAGCTGTTGCAGGGAGGTTCTTGCAGCCTTTGCAGGGTCACTGGGATCCTTTTCCAGGCACTAATCAAGACCCAGATCAGGGTGGATTGTGAAAAGAGAAGCTTTTCAGATGCATTAATATTCCCAGTCTTTGCCTGTTTTGCAGAAGGACTGTGGAATTAAAACATGAGCMTTTGCAGTTTCCTCTGTAGGTGGAAAGCAGGATTTTGCGCTCGGTGTTTGCTCAAACCCTGGCAATGGGAGCCACGTAGCTGCAGATCAAAGGTGAAGTTCTCCTTGGGGTCTCACAGTTTTGCAGGCTGCTTTTTGCATCCTGGACCAGCTTAACCATGCACCTGTCCCGAGAGGGGGAGTTTCCAAGTGAGGAAGCTCATTCGAGCATTAAAGTTATATGATAAAATGATAGATTAGTGGCATTATCAGATGCTTTTGCCATTCATTTCCCTCTCTGCATTTGGAGCTAGAAAGAAATGTCCTGTGGAAGCCTTCCCAGGTGCAATGATTGTTCTGGGGGGGAAGGAGAAGGAAGTTCAGGATCTGTGAATGTCACCCTGGTGGCATCAGCACTGCTGCAACGTCACCCCTCGTGCACCACCTGCATGCAGAAGCTGCCTTGGGTTACCAGAAGGTGGGGACACGTGCAGAAGTAGCAGCTGAGCCCCAAAGGGTGGCTGGTTCTCACTCCAGGTGCCTCTCAATGAGTGGATCCTTGTGTGACTTCAGCTGCTGCCGGCCTTGGGTCAGGGCTGTGTCCCCTGCGAGGCAGGGAGGTCTTTCTGATGGCTCCACAAAGTGACTCGTGGTCCGAGTGAGGCCAACAGCAAGAGTCTACCCATGCCAGGTTTGTTTGTGGAGAAAAATAGGGACATTGCTGACATGATGTCCTTGTTGAACTGGTCAAGTTAGTAATGGGTTTGCTCAGCACACTCTGATGAAGGGGTCTGACAGCCCTTTTGGATCATGGGCTGCAAGAAGTTCATGTGATTTGGGTATTAGGTGGTTTATGTTGGAATAAATTGGTGGCCCAAAGTCTGCTGGTAAAAATAACTGTTTCTTGTACTTTTTTTTAGCTGCCCTGTCCAGTCCCTTAGAAATCTCTGCGGCATTTGAGGGCTCGTTCCAGGTCAGATATGATGGACAGTGTAGAGGCTTGCTCACCCGTGCTATGGGTGTCCTTGCTGATAAACAGGGGGCTTGTTTCTGCTGTCAAGGTGGCACTTTCATTTTATACCGTTTCCCCGAGTAAGGAGGAAATTTATGCTGTCTAATTTTAGACATCCAATTTGGATTGCTTCTGGCTGTAGCACAAACTCCACCTGCAGCAAGTCCAGAAGCATTTCTGCAACCGCAGAGGCAGCTTAGGCAGCCCCCGTTGCCCTTCTCTTATCTGTCCACCTCCTCCCCTTGCTTTCTASTCAGAGTGCAGGCAGATTTACTTGCCTAACTGGTGTTGAACAGGGCAGGAGAAGCTGTTTTGGCCAAATAAAAAATGTCCCCAATAATAATAATAAAAAAAGAATGTTTTAGCTGATGTTGCTCCAGTTGGAGCACCGGAATTAGGTGCCTTGTGTTCACTCTATGTGTGGAACCAGGCGCTTTAAGGGAGTTCATTTTTGCAGGTGTTTATATGACAAATSCTCAGCATAATCAAAATTTGCAGAAAGTTCTTGAAAAAGAAATGAACCAGAGTATGTGAGGATATTTGTTAACTGGGCAAAGTTTCATGCTCTTCAAGGGTGGCAGCACTGTGTGAGGCTGCAGGCTRCATCCCACATGGAGTAGGAACCTGTAGGATACCTTGGTGTCAGCTTCGTTTCTGGTCTGACGGTGGCTTCTGTGGACATTTTTCACCATTGGGACTCCCATAACTAGCAGCAGAATGAGCAATATCAGACCAACTGATATCAGCAATATCAGCCCAACTCTCTTGCTACATTAAGTGATGTAGATCCCTTGTTTGAAGTTATTTCTTGTGGCACGTGAAGTTAATTTAGTGCTTAAACACCCCTAAATGGGGACTAATTTCTTTTAAGAGCTTTTTAACCTGAAAGTGAACTTACAGAAGTTACTCCCTTGCACTCTGTGCTGCAGCCGAATGGATATTATCTGAAAGAGGACGTTAAAAATAATGGCATTTCTTTATGGGGTTCGCTTAGAAATACGTACACAGCAGGACCTGGCTGGCAGGAGATAACTCTGCTCTTAAGGATGTTGCCCTTACCAGAATCATTAGAAATTTAGCAGAGTTATAGCTGCCTGGGCAGCCCCGAGAGACTTTGGACAATTTACTATGGCCCGCTGTGGGTATTAGTTTAGCAAACGTGTCACTATTTTACCCTGGCATCTGTTCCAAGTACTAATTCTGGGGATCAGTGTCTTTCAGATGAAAAAAGTGAATCCTTTTTTGCCCCCGGTGTCTGAGTAAATTGACATTAAGTACTCTAAAGAAAAGACAACTGTTGCCAGCAGAGGCAAGCAGCAAGGAAATCTGGGGCAGTAGTAACTTGGTGACACCTTCCACGTCCTCAGGGACTTTTATTGCTCTGAGGATTAATTTTCTATTACATCTGTGTGGGGGGCTTTTTAAAATACACTTCCACTAACAACTTAATACTTTTCCAATTACGGTTTCATAAAATGCTACAAGTTTTTCTCATTCTGCTACCTAGAAGCCAATGCCTTTGTCCTTCTGAACGTTGTTATCTCCTTTTTCTTAAATAAAACATCTTTTCTGCTGCCCTGCTGAGGCCGTATTTTTCAACAGAGGGAGATATTGTTCATCGTGTTGTGGATACAGCCCAGCAGACCTCCCTGAGCACTGCCCTTCTGCGGCGGTTCATTAGTGAATTCGTGTTTCCAGTATAGTTTGTTTGGTCTCCTGCTACTAGTACCTTATTTTCTAAAGATGCCTTCACTACAAATGTGTCTTTTCATCGTTTATGTTTGGTTCTGGTTCACCTTGGCTTGGTTTGGTTCACATTTGGAAACTCCAGGATCACTTTTACAGAATAATTGACCTCTTATTTTTATTTATTTTATTTTTTTTCTTCCCTGCCAATATGTCCATGCACTTTTTGTGCAGGTGGTGTGAGAGTTTCCTGCAACAATCTTGCACATAAAAACGAGTCATACAATGTATGGCAGCATATGAGCCGAAGTTTTGTAAATAAGTTGGATTTGGGTAGTGGTGGGTTGCGATCTGTTGTAGGAAAGTGATGAGTAGCTCAAATAATCTGTTTTTCTTCACCTAGAATGTGCAGAGCTGGAAAAGAAAAATATATGGATGTTGGAAAACGACCTTTGCACTAAGGCAGAGTGAAGGGTTTTGCAAGGCTGTCCGTGCCTTGTGCGRGATGGATCTGCCTTGCCATTTGCACAATATCGCTTCTAGCAGAACAAGAATTCCTTAGCCTGGGGAATTACTGAACCCTTTGGATTTGGTTGGCACCAAACGAGGAAGAGACGCGTTGGTTTTACAGGACGGCTCCCGGAGATCCTTGCACAATTCTTTTWTGTGGGATAACAAACTAGCTGCCTATCTCAAAATAAAATAATAACTTGTTCTTTATGATCTTAGGAAAAAAAAAGAACCTCTGTGTGCTTTAAAATCCAGACTAAGGTGGATAAGACAGAGGAAGGATTTGCTAGATGGGGCAGATACCTGAGCTGCCCCTGGGAGTTCCTGCTTCTGCTCGGCTGAGGCTCCTGGCGAGGGCTCGGGGCAGGTTGGAATCACGCAGGATAAGGACGGATCAGCTGAAGGATGAGTATCCGCTGGGAAATAAGGGCCAGCCCACATGGCTGCTTTCCCGTGYATTTCCTAGCCCTCTTCATCGAGGGAAACCAGTAAAATCCTATCGGAGGCAATGCTGATAGGAAACGGAATCGTCGGGTGTCTGTATACAGAACATAAACTCAACTAATCTGAGTTAATCTTCTCTGTTTCCTTCTGCGCCTCCATTTTAGAAAATAAAATTGGAAGAAAATTATGGTCACAAACCTGATTTTTGCCTCGGTTTGGGTTTTCAGTACAGAACTACCTGACAATTAATATTTGTGTATACCTTCTGAAATACCTGACCTTTGGGCAGTTGACAGAGCTATAATATTAGTCTTTGTATTCTAGGCTGGCTTTTAAACTCCCTGCCTAGTAGATGTAAGTTCAGTGGATACAGATCTGAAACTTGATTTCCTCAGTATAGCTGCATTAGCATTCAGCTGTGGGTATGTAAGATAATAGTATTAAAAGCAACCTTCCCTCCTGTTGTCATGGATGCAGCACAGCCCAATCCTGGGAGCACGATACCACCAGTCTTTGTACAATCTCGGTTTTATCTACAAATTTTAATTTAATTACAGCAGAAATTCTTTAACTGAAGAAAACATGTGATTTTATTTTCTGTTTTGAGCATTAAAATGTAAGAATCGAGCAGCTAATGTTCTTTGTCCAGTGCTCATTTTTTTTTTTTTTGCATTCCAAATATCTGTCAGTATTAGTTATGAGACCGTGTGAAATAAGTAGCCATGAAAGATGCCTGCTTTTATGACAGAATGAGTGGTTTCATGAATTTTAAAGGAGCACATTTGTATTTTCTGTTCTTGAACTACACGGGCTACTCGCAAATATATGACAGGAGATAATTGTGTGAGGAATTATGATGCCTTTCAAGATTTTGCAGGATATTACTATTTTCATAATCTTTCATTTATCAGGTTATATAGCTTGATTTATTTATGTATGTAATTTGGAAATTAAAGTACTCCCGTTCTGTCAGTGTAGGTATATGTTTTCTCCACGTAGCTCCTACCTCTGTTAGCAAAAATAATGAATGTGCTAATTTTTTTGTCAGCTACTAAAGAAATGCAAGGGAAGTGGAGGATAGTCAGGTATTATTCTTGACCACGTGAGACAATATGGAACTGCACATATTGCTCTGTCCGTGCCTTGGGGTTGCAGAAGCGCCTATGCCAACGTATAGCCCTGACCGTGGCACTAGGCAGCGCCTGGACTGCAGGGGGTTAGGACTGAGATGAAGGCTCCGTTAGTACCAACTTCAGCGGGGATTTCGTGTGAGTGAGTAAAGACTTCAAGCCTTTAATTGACTAAGAAAATCTTTTTAGTTGTGATTAGCAGGACGGATACGCAGCTGGTGAGAAGTGATGGGGCTCCCCTGAATCAATGCTCAGGGCCAGGCTGAAGTCGGTGGAGCAGGGCTCGTTTATCACCCGTACCTGCTCCGTTGTTTTGGAAATACATCTCAGGGTTGAGGTTTGAGCGGTGCAGTAGCCTTCCATTAGCGAGCTGCCTGACTTGTTTTAAAATTTGCATCAAAATCAGTGGTAAAGTCCTTGGCTTAATAAATTCAGTGCCTTATTTGATTTTAATTTTGTTATGATTTTGAGTACAGAATTGCATGATTGTGTCCTGTTTACTTAAAGCATGTTTGTGTGCATGTTTCTTTTGCATTTAGCATGCAGTTGTCTTTTTAAAGTCTCAGGTGATCCGCCTCCATATCTACTGTTCTCTGTTTTAGTCCTGGAGTGCTTGTATTTTTTTCTGTTGGCAATTTCATGGCACTTTCCGTCCAGCAATAACAGAATATTAGGATGTTATTTTATGGTATAYGCATTTCTGAATATCTTTATGTACAAAGCATGCTTGCAATGTCTGAATCTCCTTCCTGGAAATGCCCTCTCAAAATTCCACGCACACCCATAATTAAACTCCTCGGAAGGTGCAGTCGGGAAAGGCAGACATCAGCATTATGGAGTGAAAATTAAAGAGGCAAAACATCAGAGTGTCTACTGTATGTGCCTGCTGTTAGACACTCAAGCATGGAGAACAGGATACACCTCTATGGATGGATAGCTTTCCTTATTAAAAAAACACAGTGGGACGCACAGTAGGGGAACACACTAAAACAAGGCTTTGTAGTAATTTCCTTGAAAGAAATTTCCCAAGATAGCAACTTGAAAAGCTTTTAATCTTATGACTAGCTATATAGTGGGTTTTACTGTAGGTAGTAGAAAAAAAGACCATTAGATTACAGCTGATCTGGTAGAGTTGGTCCAAAGCCTTTTCCTTTCCAGCTTCATGCTCACCCTCAAGAGCAGGATTAGTCTTCCCTTGCACCAAAATACGGGTAGAAAAGATCTGTGGAACTTCTGGAATAGTAAAGAACTTGAGAATATTTTTTTTTCTGTAAATTTTTCCCAAGTTTGAAGTGTTAGAAAACAGAAAACCTGCTTTACTGTCGGAAATACTTGGTCAAACATGCTGTGCTGTGGGACCTGACATTCCTTCCTTCGATCAAAGCCTTTCTTCTACATACCTGAGTTTGAAACCAAGGTTAGACTTTCTACTGTCACTCATATTCTTGAGCTGGTATTTTAATTTGAGTCTATGATCAGAGGAAAATAAAAAGTACTTTATAAACTGCTGAAGAAATAGCCCATGCTGTCCCGTACTGCCTTAGCCCTGTGCACTGGAGTGTGCTGGCATCRTTCTCATTGGACTTTGCCTATTTGTGTTACCTATTAACAGAATTACTAAACCTCAAAGAGAAAGAAAATCTGGAAAAATCCCCGTGCCCATGGACTGGCAGGCTGCGAGGTGGCTGGCGGCCACGGTTACTTGAGCCTCCTTAAACCAACGCCACTGCGGGAGCTTGGAGGACCCTGCTCCAAAATCCTGCTGCTTTTCCCGGGCAGATCCCCCTGGAGCTTGGGGTGGGGACTGGGAATGGGGAGCTCCAGAGGCTGGCAGGACAAGAGGAGGGTTTTGCTGGAGCGCGATGGCCAGGTTGGCAGGGAAGGGAACGGAGGAGCTCGGCACCTATAGGCTCAGCACCTATGGGTGCCCATGGGCACCTATGGGCGCGAGCAGCAGGGAAGAGGAGGCCACATCTTGCACACATCTCGTGTCAGCCACAAAGAGCTGAGAACAGGGAACAAACACACCCGATAATGTGTTTCACATTGGAATAATTAAAGAGAATTGTTGCTGGAGGGAAACGTGCCTTTAAAAATTAACCCTGACATCTCACTGACAATTTGGTTTATTAAAACAGATTCTTTTTTTAAGTTATAGTAAACTTGATATACATTTTTCAGCACCTTAGAAAACAGAAATGTAGTGTCTTTCCTTTGGAAACTTCCTTGTGTGAATAGTCCAAGCTTAGGTGAGCAGTCCCATCTATTTTCCATTGGACTGCTCGTAGGACGGGCGTTTAAAGGATTGAGTCTGCAGTAAATGACACTTTCTCCTGTGCCCTGGAGCCTCTGCTACTTGTTATTGTCTGACTTTGTCTCTTGATTGCAAATATTGCAGTCTTCTATCATGCACCATTCCAGTTCAGAACTTTGAGTGTTTTTTCCCAAGTATTCATTCACCAACTTGCATTTGTATTTTGTTTTAGGACCAAACAAGTCCATGGAAAATTCCATACAGCACTAAAAGTTTAAGAAATTCTCCTTTTTGGATGTAGARTATTTGAAAACAAATGCAAGCATTTGAAAGCTGTATTAATTATTTTTACAACTCTAGATATGATGATAACATTCATATTTTTATGATCTATGGAAAGTTAAATATAGAACCAGATAATGATGCTCAGGAAACTTGTTTTCATTGTATCATGGCTAAAATGATTATTTACCAATTCAACCACTGTGCGGCTCTAAAACTGATGTGCATTCCAGTTCARTTCTCAATCTGACCAAAATTTGATAATCCAGAGTTAGGAAATTTTGAGTTTTGAGCGTGCAGGCGCTTGGGGCAGATTCCTGCCTAGCAGACTCTGCTTTCGCTCTGGATACTCCCCAGACAGGGTAAAGTTATTTACCCCCGCTGCGAATTTGACCCAATCTTGCATTCCTTCCTTAGTCGAAGGAAGAGATCCAGCCTCAAATTTCCTGTCCTACTGAACCTGCACATTCAATAATCTCAGGCTCAATCTTTTCGGATGCTGGGTACCCCCAAATAGGCGCTTAAACCAGGATGGCAGAAGGCTTGGGACACTTCTCGGGACTAAAAAGATAAAAAGAAAAAATGATATATGTAAAAAAATAAAAAAACCAAAAAAAGCATTTTTCAGAAATATTTTCCTTAGCTTGAGAGGAAATTTTACCCCTTTTATAAAAACATCAACTGAAGGCGGTGTCTATTAGTTGCTGAGATATTTACTGTAGGCTTAGCTATACACAACATTTCTGATATGTTCTTTTTGGCTATTAAAGGCTCATTAAAAAAATTAAAGTCTCCACAATTTACAGTATTTTCCATTGAAATAGCATGTTAACACATTTCTTTAATCAGTGTGTAACTGTCAAGGGAAAGAACAATTCATCTAGTATATGCATACATTAGAAAAAATTATCAGATTTAATTTTATTTGTTTTATAGTCAGGG